TGCGATAAAACAGAGAAAATATTACCGGACCGTGTCAGCGTTATACTAGCCGGGCGAATACGAGGGAGACAGCAGAAAACGCGCCACCGATCCGATATGGTCCATGAAAACGTACAACATCCACCTGGTCGACATCAAAGACGGCGAACCGAACTTGAAAGACGGACGCTAAGAGCATTCGTCAGAGAGGAGTTGATAATCGTACCTCACGACACAGTCCCTTACACATCGCCCACTGTGTTATGATAATTTTCATCACCAGCCAGCCGTATATGATTAGCCGTGCACACACACACACCCACACACACACCTTTAAAAGTCAATATTTCAGAAACTATTACACCGATTTTTCTCATATTTTGCATACAACTCAGTAGTAGTATGCACAATAGCGGGTCTGTGATAGGGACTTACCAAAGGCTTAATTTTTTAATTAAGCCTTTGGTAAGGACCTGTCACAGAACCGCTATTGTGTATACTACTAAGGTTGAGTAAATATTTGGATATTTTATATGATAATTGTTCAAAGGCAGTGTTACGTTATAAAACAGCAAATCATAACTTACCCATTAAAACAGGCCGCTGTAGGAATATTCAAAAACGTGATAGAATATGTAAACTTTGTAATGGTAACGATATTGGCGAAGAATTTCATAATTTAAATGCAAGAGTTAAATATTTAAAGCCATATTTTTATTCCAAACCAAATTTTCATAAAATGTATACATTATTCAATAACAATAAGAAATGTATTCTTAGAAAACTCTGTTTATTCTGTAATATTATCAAAAATGTTTATAAGAATCTTCGGTAAGAATACTCCATCTAAATATTTCTATTATCTTTATGCAATCTATTTGCAGATAGTTTTGCAATCTATCTATCTATCTATCTATCTATCTATCTATCTATCTATCTATCTATCTATCTATCTATCTATCTATCTATCTATCTATCTATAATGCATACTTATTCATCTGTATATATGAAATACTCGACTGAACACGCTATGTGAATATATTTAATTGTAACATATTCAACTTCATATGCCACTGTCTGTGGCCTGAGTTAAAATAAAGTTCAGTTCAGTTCAGTTAAAATAAAATGAAAGGGATTAATGCACAATCTAAATTGTAAAATCAATGGTGATATGTAGTTAATTTCTCACTGTAAAATACTCAGTTGTTATAAGGATATGTAGTTGAGTAAAGAGGATTGGTGCATCCACTAAGAAGTTCAGACTGAGACAACGTGTTCGTGATGAAGTGAGAATGGACATCCGCACAAGTTAACTTCCTTAACACTAAGCATATGTGATATGATGTGATATGATGTTATATCATTGTGATCAGAAAATGGACAAATAACAGAGTAAATAAATAACAGACAAATAACAGAAATACATCCTTTATAAAATTTCTTTTTGTCCTTCAACTACTTCACTTTTAGATCATAGGGGTGCCACTAGTTTACCATTGCGTAACCAGCAGTCAACAGACCATGAAATGTTGTTTTAAGACTGCAGGCGAATTGGGACGTAGGCGAAATGAGAACATGCCATAATGAGCAATCAATCAATGTATTGGCGGTTAATCATTTGAAAGAAGGACGTTGTTTTTATACAGACACAGACACGACAGAGTGTATTCAGTATAGATTAGTAAATCTACATAAATAAACACTACCTCTTGACAAATCCGCTGTGCAAGATAAATGTAATTAATCAATCAGCGTGTTATCGGTTAAACCTTTGATCGATGTTATACTGTTGAGTATTTACTCCAGACACAGTAGTAGTAAAATGTTTACTAAAGTGTCACACGCACAACATTTACATTAAAATACAGAATCTCAGTTTAAAGGAAGTGCGTCCAGCATAACATGGGCTTACGAGACACTATAAATACATTATAAGTACATTAATGGTACACACATGATAGAATATAATATGGGAGATAGAAATTTAGGCAGATTGTAGATAAGACACACTGATAACAACAACAGACTCCTCGATGAAACAACAAAAGAGAAAGAAAAAGAATAACAGGGTATTCTTAAAATAATCATGAAGTCCAAAAATGAAAATGCATAAATTGGATATACATTGTATATAAAAGATTAACATTATTCCACCATTTGCCGTCTCTTAAACATTTTATAATGTACATTTGCCTATTCTTTTTGTAAACCATCGGAATTCATTATATAAAACAATTTATCCTCATCACAAAGGTGATTAAAATTACCGTTGTTTTCTGCAGCTGCCTTAACAAGGTTAAATCTAATGTCGTTATAAAAAGTACATTGGATCAAAAAGTGAAATTCATCTTCAGTAAAATATGTACAAGCATTTTTACAATATGTACATAACCTCTCTTCAAGTGGTATAGGCTTGGGATATCTACCCGTTTCAACATACAATGGTAAAATTGCACACCTAAAATACGACGATGGTCTCGAAAGATAACATTTGTTACATACAATTCTACAGCATGGGAGACCTTATACTTTCTGTAAGTTCGTAGTTTATTCCCATTAACATTACCGCCATCATCCCAGGGCTTAGCGTGCCATTTTAATACGTCCTCATGCATTAAAACTTCTTTAAAATAGTTTACACAAGATTTAGTTTCCCAATTATTATTTAACAAATGGGCACAGTTATATCGTCGAACGATATTCATTAACTTGTTATCCCAAGAATAAGGAATCCCATTTGCCCATGGATGGATTACATATGGCAGCAGATGTTGCTGCAAGGATTTCAAGCTAATAAATATCTGAAACCCTATACCTTTTGTTTTACAGACACTGAAAACCATCCCATGTCCCCTCGTAGTGCAATAACAGGCACATTCTTACTTACACCAAGAAACATTCTACATGCTCTATTTTGTACAACTTCTACTTCTCTATAATTGTTCATACCCCATAAGCTAGACCATAATATATAACCGGTTCAACCAAAGATTCACACGTTTTTGTAAAAACTTCATATGACATGCCACCAGCACAAATAAACTTAGTATACAGAGCAGATAATGCTCTACTAGCCGCTTTGCAGAGCTCTTTAACAGTTTTGTGCATGTCCAGACATAAGAAATGCCAAATAACGTTAGTAGGTTTATACCACCTAACACGGGTTACAACAAGGGAGTATTAATTGCTGTATTGGATGCAATATTAATTACATCTGAAAACTTATGGGCCGACACTGTTTTGAGAATACGAACAGAACTTCATTGTTGCATAAGAATACATATAAGCATTTGCTGTGTGCTAAAACTGTATGTACCTATTTACCTAAGTAAATTTTCAGATTCTTCTAGCAATGGCAAAGTTGGGTTGTTTAGTTTACGGATTCAAATAAATCAAATGTCAAATTTTAATATCATACGTAATAGACGTCATATTTTTACATGACATGATTAAATATCGAGGTAAAAACAACACAGAAGTGGGATCAATTTGGATCAGTCATTATACCAACCAGGCATTAGGAAACCTGAAAAAGCCCACACTATCTTGATACTTTATTACAATCAGACAAGAAACACCGGGAATATTTTCAAACAACGGCATCTGATGGGCATCGACCCTTCCTAATGTTGCACTGTTTAGGTTGAAGAAATAAACCGTAACCGTGATGAGCGAGGCTGATCATCGTTTTCACTATCACTAGCGTCTGGCTCGAACAAATAAGGCATAGCGACACCAAGCGATTTTGACAGAATCGTCTATGAAAACAAGCTGTAACTCGGAAGCTAGGCAAAGCAGGTGACAAAATTAAATGACAGTAAATTGAGAGAACATATGGATTACATTTTTCACAACACTTGTCACGATTTCATGTTTATACAAACCTGTAAAAACAAGATAATTTACCCCCTGAAATGTACATGAATTCTACATCGGCCCTCATAGCTATTCCTCACATGACGTCACGTCACGACGCGCCCCTCTGATTGGTTGAAATTTCGTTTGCGGGTAAGAATTGTGCACTGTTGTCAAAAAGGTCGATTTAAGTTAATTAAAGATCGAAATGAGTAGTTTTTATGACGGGGTTCATTTACAACGATGCCAATTAGTGATTTATGTATTTGTACCCCCCAAGAGTATATGTGATCTTTAAGGGGGCGGTGGGGTTGCCAAGTGGTTCGAGCGTTGCTTGTCTCACCAAAAACCCAAGTTCGATTCGATACATAGAGGATACTAAACGACCTTCCGTGTAATACCATTTTTATTAAACGAGTCAACGATTTGGTATCAAACGAGCGAAAGCGTGTTTGATGCTAAATCTATCACGAGTTTAATAAAAATGGTATTTCACGGAAGCGAGTTTAGTATTCTGTTTATTACTCTCCAACATAAACTAATAGAAACTGCCTACGAAATGTGATGACTCTCAGCTTCCCACGAGTCAAGCAAGGTCTAATACCATTGTGACAGAGGTATTAGCATTGTGACGTCATAACTGTAAACCATTATGACGTCATACGTCTAGCGGTATTACACTAGTGTAATATTGCCGTAAAATATTACACTGTAGTATCTTCCACGGGCGAGTAATAAAATGTGACAGGACAATATCTGATGTTGTCCGCCGTGATAATGCTGGTATATTGCTAATAAGCATAAAACCATACGCATTCACTTAAACCAAAGAGCACATCATGCAGTTCTCGTACCGTTATATTTAATATAGAAACAGCAGAGTAACTGTAACATCCCAAGAATAATACCACCTTGGGAAAAGGAAAAATCGAAAGAAGTAGTGGTAGAATCCTTCCTAAATTTACAAATAAAATTACAAGCCTTGTAAATATCATCTTTACAAGTTTGGAAGTTTTTGTTAATATGATATTTACAAATTGTAATTTTTTGTAAAAACCAATGATTTTCTTGTGGATTTTACAGGACATATATCTGACAGATATTCATCAAACTCAAATGCAATATCACTGTGGTATCAACAATAAACCCACGCAAACCATACTTACCCAAGGAGCAGCATAGAATAATCCACATGTTTGTACACCACTTGACATGCAGAGTTTTCCGAAGGGACATCTTAAATGCAGCCACTATAATGGACAGCTCGGGAACCAACTGAGAAATGCGTTTACTGTCAGCACCGTCTGGCCACACGGAATCAATAATACAAATAACTCGACTTGTTTTCTGTGTACTGTTTCCTCTCTCTGGAGGTTAACAAATCAATGTGTAATTTGTCTGCTCTATCCCTACATTTGATTGTGTTTAGCAGCGTTCCATCAAATACCTTAATGAAGAAGAAACATTAATGCAACACTGAATGGGTTTTCAATAGTATACAATGTACGAAGAATGGAACTGACTGAGCTGACCTTATTCCAACATTGTAACGTGTTGGGTATTAACTACTACTTGGACATAATTAATCAAGTGATCTGAAAGATAAAGAACTCCGTGGGAAACAATCAACAAAGAAATGTAATGGAATAAACGACTTTTACACAAGGGTACATTTTACTGCAAAGTGATGAGAACGGCAGTGCAAAACAGAGTGGCAGTTCAAAACAATGGCAGTGAAAGATACACCAGCAGCTGACAATAGCAATAGAGACAGAAGGTAACCATAACCCCGATGAATGCGCCTACTGAAGCTTCAAGACATGTCTTTTCTCATTTTCCTGAGAGGGTTCGTAAGTCCCAAAACTTCAAGGTCAATTTAGCTTTACCAAATTTTTTATCGTAGAATATTTGGGTTTTATTTTTAAGTAATGGCGAAAACTCAGCACAATCGCCAGCGGCTGAAGGGATGATGCAAATCCAGCTAGGGTCCATGCAGGTAGCAAAAGTACATGTACTGTAAGTTCCCATGGACCCTAGTTTGGTGATCTACCTTCAGTTGTTGGTGATCTATAGCCCGTTTTTATTTTGTACTGTCTACTGGGATTTAATTTTACGATAGCGTGCTAGTTTTAAATTCATATCTGTGATACTCTAGTATTTTTACTGTCCTTCGATGACAGGCTTTTACGTTCCAAATTTATTGATTTTAATATTGATATCAATTAAAGTGTTCTCGTCACGATATGGCTGCAATATTGCCGATGTGACGCTAAATATTAACTCGCACACTCACTCACTTTTCTCATTTGTCTACGTTGTTCTAGAAGCTTACAAACACTGTTTTACAACCGCTTCTTCCACTTAACTCCATGTTTACATATTTGTTATGCTGATTGTAATTCCTGCATGCTGACAAGCTGATCAGGGCCCTTATTCTCGAAACGTCCGTAGCTCTAAGAATTCTTAACTTTGATCGTAGCCAATGTGTTGAATGGGCTTAAGAAGTTGGTAGGGCTACGAACGTTTCGAGAATAGCTAGCCTGCATTGCTTTCACCACTTTGTTAGGTTGCATTCATTTCTCCAATAAACGCGTTGGGTGACAAAAACATTACACCATACCTAAGAAGTGCATTGCTTTCACCACTTTGGACTACTCCTTGGAGAAGGTCCTGCAGCATTGCTGATCATCACTGATTTTCGGTGATCCATGCATATACTTTTAATGGTTATTTTGACACCAAACTGAATTTGTCTCTAAGGATCGTGAATACTGGGTGTTCTTTTGCACTAATGCACCATGTGTAATTTAAATGGGTCGATGTTTCTGCTGGTTGACAAAGTCACCGAGTTTCATCATAGATATTCCCCTGTGTTAAAGCCAACTACAAAAACAATTTTGGTCTGACACATTAATATTGCCCCCTACTATGCTGTAAAACAAATCTATTTCTATTCCTTTGCTTGCTAGCAGCGGAACTTCGACATTTATACACAGTTGTCATTCAAAATTCACAACTGGATGTTTTGGTCCATTGATCACCATACTATCCAGATTGTTCACAGTCCACTGTCGCATGGCAGGTGTAAGACGAAAAGTATCCCTTTCTATGCACGGTGTTTAATGAAGGTACTACGTCGGTTCATTGGTTTCAAGTCAATGCTTTATTGTACAAAAGGCCATAGGCCCAATACAGTCGAGCTACAGATATTTGTATCTGAAGCAGAACAAAAATACAATGCGATTAACAAAATAACGTCTTGCGTAATATTAAAGCATGGTGCATAAACAGAACAATTTGAAATGGATAGTAGGATTATTGCAGGATTTCTTAAATTCACATAGAGATATGAAATTATATGGAGGGAAATGCTTAGATCTGAGTTGAGCATAGATTGGGCAGACGTACATGAAATGGTACTCGTTTTCAACTCAATGATTACATAATTTGCAAAGTCGGACTGATTTCGAAATGCAGATGTGTCTTCCTTTGTTCAGTTCCAGTTCACTGAGACCAAATCGGAATCGTATAAAGGCATTTCGAGGAGACTTAGATTTAATGTTGTGGAGGCAAGTTTCACAAAAATAAGACGTTATTGTCAGAGAAAAGTCCTTCTCAGTTGTAGGAAGTAGATTCCACTAGGTGTAAAAGACAAAAATTATGTGAATGGATAACCGACAATCTATAACGACACCGGGTGTTTGCGGTAATCGTGCTCTACCAATAGCACCCACCACGCACAGAATTCGCATGAAAAGAAAATGTATGTTTGCTGCCTGACGACGCACAAACATAAAATATTGATCCCTTCAAGCGCTGACTTTATTTGTTAATCATGTAGCACTTCACAGCTAGCTTCTGTGTTTGATGTCAATGTGAACTGTATGTATGGCTTTCAAAGCCGAATAAAGTGTTGTTTTCCTTAGTAACTTCATGAAGGACTGATATATTTCGCAGTGTTCTTTAATGAGCGATGTTCGTTGATTGTACGAGTCTGGCACGTCCCACAGGCCTACAGAGACCGTGTATCACGCAGGAGCTTCTCAGAAGGTATATTCTTTCGCAGTTGTGACTCTTATAATATGCAAACACTAAGAGACATCATAACAGTTGGGAATCGGTAAATCGATGTTGCCTTTTACACTGGGTTGATGTCAAACAAGCCGAACCTGTTAAGTATTGTTACGTATGTTAATTAAACCACGTTTGTCAGTTGGAGTCTGTTATCATCGTCAGTGTTGATACAATACAATATTGACGCACTAATGCAATATTGATTCAGAACTTGTAAGTCAGTGTCTAAAGAACAAATCAATATTGATACGGTACTTTTAAGAACAATTCTATGTGGACCCTGGACACATAGGAACACATCAGAGTTGACTGGACACAGGAACACATCAGAGTTGACTCGACACATAGGGACACATCAGAGTTCAATGGACACAGGAACACATCAGAGTTGACTGGACACATAGGAACACATCAGAGTTGACTGGACACATAGGAACACATCGGGTTGACTGGACACAGGAACACACCAGAGTTGACTGGACACATTGGGACACATCATAGTTAACTGGACACAGGAACACATCAGAGTTGACTGGTTAGGAATCCAGTGGGCACATGGAGGAGCACATGAGCCGAGCCACCGATCCCGTTCGTCGCCTCGTAAGCATGGGTTTTGCTGAAGTCCAATTATAACCCGGATTTTCACGTTTAGAACGATTCAGTGATCACACAGTATATATGTGGGCAATTCAATGTCGCAGAGTACATGCCAGATCAGTTCAGTGTCGACACCTTATAGGTAACAAGGATTCTCTGTGGACAACACTTATGACATCAAACTGTCATAAATAGCTTTGATATGAACAATAATTTCAGTTTTGTTAACCATAGTTTCACTTGACTAAACAATGGATATTTTATTAAATTATTATGTGCATTTTCAAATGTATATGAACATGTTTAGTTCCAGTAATCTTTCGCACGAGTTCTATACAATCCTAATTCAGTTGACTACACATGTGCCTCGATTAAGAGAGAAAATATTAAATTCCCTTCTACGTCCTACTCTTTAAAGATCATTCTGAAAGAAAAACAACCGTTGAATTTCCAATCGGATGAATAAAACATTTGCCCGAATGTTCATACCGTGGAGATGAACACTGCTCTTTTCACATTCCTGAGATTTTATGAATGCTTCACATTAATCGCATTTGGTAAAATATCTGTAACAACATAGACACCTTGTCGTTATTTATGAAAAGCTCCAAAGTTTACAATTCTTTCTTTGCTCAATGATAGTTCCAAACTGGCTTTGTAATCTTAATGAATGCCAGAGGGTCATGCTTAGGTAGGACAATCAAGCAAGGTAAAACACAAAGTGTTCAGTTCCCAGGTCGGGAGTGTATTGAAAGGATGAGCCATGTCGGCAATTTAAAACTGAATATGTGTGAATTAATTATATAAGCTTTTCATTTCAAATAATGGATTTACTTGTGTTATTATTCTAAGGATCTTAATGGAACACGAAAGATGATTTTATTAAAAAAGTAAGACTTTTTAAACAGACTCACTGATACTTGCTTTTTGTCTTCATACCTAATGTAAATGACTTCAGACTGGTAAGATTTCCGCCCGCATCCCCCCTCAATTTTAGCGATGAAGTAGTAGATATACCAAAACACACACACGCACACATACGCACGCACACACATACTCACACATGCAGACGCGCACGCGCGCACACACACATAGCTGAGTCAGTGAGTTAAGATTTAAAGTCACATCGGCAATATTTCAGCCATATCGTGACTAAAACTAGTTCTAAATTCATAATGCATACATATAATATATCAAACCCTGTCAAAAAAGGACAGTAACATTACTAGATTATCACAAAATGAGTTAAAACTAGCTAGTATATATCTTTAAAAGTAGAAAACTATTTTTGGACAATACAATGTAAAAAATGGGCCAGTAATCGCCAACAACTGAAGGTAGATCACCATACTAGGGACCATGGGGACTTACAGTGCCTTTGCTACCTGCATGGACCCTAGCTGGATTTACACCATCCCTTCAGCCATTGGCGTTTATGCTGAGATTTAGCCATACATCAAAATGACAAAAATACTACTAGTAGACTTAAATTTACTTGAAATGTTTTGGGACTTACGTACCACACACATAGGTAATATGATTTGACTGGAATGACATTTAATGTTGCATACGGCGGAGGTCTGTACCAATAATTGATGACCACTTTGTAAGTCACGTGCTCATTTTCATATTTTAGTATGATCATGTCATTGCTCAAATAACAAACACAGAGTTACGTTTAAATAACACACTCTAGACTTACTCTGCCTTTATAATCAGACCCCCATGCATACATCCCTTTGGACATTCGGTCGTGCAATAGTCTACTTAAAGGTACTGGCGCAAGTGTAATGAATATAGAGATGGCAGCAAGTGCTTTTCAATGCAATGACTTGTATTTTGTCACATCGTTCCCATCAAGCAGGAATCCCTAAAAATAAGTATATCTGCAATAATGTTTGTCTTTTCAGTCCTGCTTTTGACACAGTTATTAAGAGCTACCGTGAATAAGCTTCCTCTCCCAGTACATCCGGCTGACCCATCTAAGGAATCGATTCCAGACTACCAGTTTGACTGATCGGACCATTCCTGGCTTACGTCCAATCATGTCCAGGACTGTTCGGAACCTACTGAGGGAACACCACACCCAGACCCGAAGGCTTGCAATACCTCCTATTTTGCTCCAACGTCACCGACAGGCACGTCTCGCCTGGTGCAGACAGCCTTTATGGTACAGGAGACAAAATTGAGATAGTGTTTTGTTCTCTGACGAGTCGAGATTTCATCTGGACAGCTCATATGTCAGGGCAAGGGTGTACGGGTGGCGAGGTGAACGGTAATCTGACGCGTGCGGTGTTCAACGTTGACAGTTTGGTGGAGAGAGCGTTATGGCATAGGGGAGCATCACTTCTCATAGACGGACACAACTTGTCATTGTCAGTGGCAAACTGACAGGCCTGCTATAAGGGGATGATATCATGTCATGTACAGCTGTTCATTCATGACAGAGACGTTACTTCACGCTTCAGCATGTCGCTCGTGTTGTGACAGTTTTCTTGAGACAACAGAACATGAGATTACTCCCCCTGGCCAGCTATTTCTCCGGACCTGCCTCCTATCGAGCACGCTTGGGATGGAGTGACATTTACGTCAAGCCCAGAATCAGCAATTGACGTTAGCTGAATTGGGACACGCGTTGGCTCAGACATGGAACAAAGTTGCCCAAGCTTTCTTCAATCGCTTAGTGTCGTCTCTGCGTCGTCGTTATCAACTCCGCATCAACGCCAATGGTGGTCGCACAGTTACTGAATTTGTGAACTTAATTTTGACACCACATCTCTTTTTGGGCGTGTCACGATGCCTAGTGTCAAATCATACGGATTTCCATATCATCCTGCCAACATAATTAAGGAAAACACCATAAGTCATGTTATTATCTTTTCGCATTTAAAATGGCATAACATCAAATAATGCACAGTTACTTTATTCCAGTAGTATATCTCTTTATAATTACAGGTTTCTTGAAAGAAATATGGTTGAAAACAGTTTTTTGAACAACTGCCTGTAAATCCATTTTAGCATGTGTTAAATGCTGTATATTTAAGTGTTTTTAAAGAAACGTCTATGTATAACATGTCAAGATTCAGACAACTCAATAGAGAAAACCTTCGTCATGTGATGTGCCTGCCATATGAAGATAAGAGTATTGTTGCTAAGCAACGGCCAAATTCTTTGTCTTCAGATTTCCTTTCCAATGACTGTGTATCTATTTTACGTCTGGTAAAATGGTAATGCATGCATCAGAGGTCACAGGTCTGTTGGTTATACAGTCTGCAACGCCGATGTCTAATAATTTGGTTCCTATATCCAACGTGCTCAGATGTACTCCCGCCGCTATATAGCTGGAATATAGCTGGAATAACTCACTCACTCACTCAGATGTAACTCACTGCTCATACGCATTCGAATTTACACATGCAGTCCGATAGTTGATTTCTCCATTCATTTTCCTCGATAGAGCTGAAAGTGATGGTTGAGGTTTTTGCCAACTAATTTAATTTTCAATTGTATTTATTGTGAAAAACGTCTAAAAAATCACTCGCTTGTTTAATTTATCTCTTCGGATATTATCTAGTTTCGATCTCCCTCACGTTAAACAGCCAAACTGTGATATGCAGCTGTATTATTGTCCAATCGGATATTAACCCAGTCTTTCCCTCACTAGTTCTCCATGTATGATTCCACAGTGTTTTGATGAACAGATGTGACGCACAGGATATCAGCAATTTATTGTGGTATTGACAATGACACCTATAGAAGGCTACAAGGTGGAAAGTTACTGGACAATACTGAATTCATACACGGTTTGGAACGTTGTGAAAAGCGGTTCTTCAAACTTGATGATGGCTTTCCCATCCTTCGCGTCGACACATGTCAGTGCATCTGCAATGAAGGGGAAGAATATCAGAGTCATTTTACAAAGTAAACATTAAAGAAAAACTAACGGGACCATTGAAATGTCATGATTTCAGAGAGTCCTTTGAGTTTTCATAATAATGTTGGAGATAAACTCTTTTCATGTACAAACTTCATTTTACATTTTTGAGTAATGAGTTATAATGTTATTCTGTCTCCCTGTGGCCAGCGATATTCTGAGATAGAATCGGTCACAAGCTGTTCATACCTGAGGCGACGAACCTGATTAGTTGGTCAGATTCACACCGTTGCATGTCATCCGATCCCAATAGTGTAAATGGATGCTCATGATGTCAGTCAGGGGCGGTGGGGTAGCCTAGTGGTTAAAGCGTCCGCTCGTCACGCTGAAGGCACGGGTTCGATTCCCCATATGGGTACAATGCGTGAAGCCCATTTCTGGTGTCCCCCGCCGTGATATTGCTGGAATATTGCTAAAAGCGGCGTAAAACCATACTCACGCACTCATGATGTCAGTCCAGACTCGATCAGATACAAAACATAGTTAGAATGATAGTCATTAAAGAACGAGCAAACCCATTTTATTGCGGTCAAATGCTTAAGTTATATTTAGATTAAGTGAGTGAGTGAGTGGGGTATTATTTAACGTCACATCGGCAATATTTCAGCCATATCGTGACGAGAACACTTGACATTGAAATAGAATATATATAGAGATTATAAAACCTGCCGACAAAGGACAGTAAAGCAACTAGAGTATCACAGATATATATGTAAAACTAGTAATTGAATCTAAAACATTTTAACTATAGGGGACAACACAATATAAAAATGGGCTATAGATCGCTAACAACTGAAGGTAGATCACCATACTAGGTATATACTAGGGTTTAGATTAAGATTATGTGATCGGGTGAAAGTCACATGACTGTGAAAGGAGATAACTGGGAGACAGAGGCATGTAATGTTATGCAGTTACAGAATAAAAGGGTTGCTGTGTTGGAACCGTGACAGTTGTCAGTTGTTACAGACTTTGAAGCGGTGACACCTTTGTTATTTATCGTTTTTGTTTATCCTGAATAAATTTATTATTCAAGTACCTGGCGTCGGGCTGGTAATTTGTTCAGGACCTGTATCTGTAAAGTGGTACACAGCCTGAGAAAACGGTCCAATTCCACCACGTAAACACAGTGTGAAGCTCTGCTGTATCTGCTGGAAGGACACCCACAACACTCCTGTAGGGTACATCCACCTGATCACGCCGGCGCTACACGAGGGGTCAACTACAGCCGTGTAATGACTTCCATCCTGGGGTTGACTCCTGTGAAGGGGTTCATTCAATTGGCGTTTAAGAAACAATTTATTGACTTGGAATCGAAAGAATAATGATGATGTATCAACCAAAGTCAGCTAGACTGACCACCTATCGGTTACACCTACTTGGGCTATCAGTCCAGATTTGAAGAGGTCATTTTAAGACGATATCGTATTGGTCAGAGAAGATACACTCATGGATATTTATTGAAAGGTGAGGATCCTCCATTTTGTATCACTTGTGATGAGAGAATCACGGTCAAGCATGTTCTGCTTGAATTTCAATGTAAAAACGATAAAGGATGTTTTTAATAATATCAGTTCTCAAATAAGTTTTAAAAGAAATTGATTTGATTCATAAATGTTCTTATTTTTACCTTCATGTAAATTACTTCATTTTCATTGGTCAGATTTGTTTAACAAGTTTCCGTGTCACCCTCCCAGGAGGGTTACAACTGAAAAAATATTATCCACTGCCACGGTAACCGCCAAGCTCTCCTCCGAGAAGCTGAAGCGCTAACAATCGTCTGACGTCATAATATGACGCATGCCGTGCCCGGAGTTTGAAAACCGTTCGATCAGCTGTTTTTGTGTTCACTTTGTGCAGATTTATTTTACCGACTTTCACTGCTTTATTTAAGCTATTTTATACATTGAGTGGTTTGCACACTCAGCTTAGACATAATTAACAATTTTGATGGCAGTTTTATGCTTGTTAGAATATGTTTCACTGACGTTAAAAATCCAGTCGAGAGGCAGACGCCATTTTGTTTGCATGTCATATAGTCGGTAGCGATCTTTAACATAAGATAAAATGATAGTTTGTACATTTAACATGGGGTAAGATAAATACGTTGTATGCTTCTCCCTCGGGTTATACGGTCTGATGTACGCCTCTTTGTAGCAGCGGTACCCTACAAAGAGAAGTACATACCAACCTCGAGAGAAGCATACAACTTATAATGTATATAGAAATATTTTACAGACAGGTAATAAATGAACATTCTCTGTGATTTGTAGTGGCGGTGTCTTTGACGGGGGCTGAAGTACAGTCAAATTACTGTCCCCTTGAGAGGGTATGTAAGCCCACTTCAATCACAGAATATTCATGTCTACCATCGTTTTTAGTCTTAGAATATTTGTAGTTTTCAGTTATAAGGCTAACATTACGTACATACGCTGACAGGTGAAGGAATGGTTTAAATACAGCTAGGGAACTGTGCAGGAAGCAGAAGTATTGTAAGTCCCCATGATCCCTTGTATGGTGGCCTAGCTTCCGTTGTTAGCGATCTCTAGCCCACTTTAAAATTGTATTGTACTCTTTAATAATGTCGGTTTATGATTACATGCTAGTTTTATCTTATTTGTGACACTCTTGTTTTTTTACTATTCATTGTCAACACGTCTTTTAATTTCTAATTATATTGATCTTTAGTATGATCAATGATTATTCTCGTCACGATATGGCTGAAACATTGTTGATGTGAGGATAAATATTAACAAAACTCACTCACTCCTCACCATCTATGGAGACGTGGCATCGTTGAGCTGCTTATCTATAAGTAAGTTCAGTCATTATTCAGTGTAGCTACGTACCCGTCAATGGTGACTTGGCATGACTGAGCCGCCACTGACCCAATTGTCATAGATAGGACAAACAACCAGCGGGGATATTGCATCCTGAGAGGGTAGTACAGAACAAAACGATTTAACTGGAACGAAAGGGCCGCACACAGCAGGTGTATATCGTTACCTGTATCTTATCTTTGAATATGAAATGGGTCAGTTTAGAGAGTTAAAGGCACAATGTCACACCACACTTCTCTAAAAACACATGATGCATTTCTCTCAATAATATATAGTTACTAACTATCAACTATCAGGGAAGCTACCATAAATTACATATTTATATTACAATATTAAATTAAAATGTACGAATGGTTTACAATATTAACTTAAAATGTACGAATGAATTAATGCAACGTTGCATTAAATCGACTCTTGCGCCCTCTACGGTTCGAACATTATTTCAAGCGAACCCCATTGAGTTCGTCCCTTGGGGCGCTCTTTACGAATATCCTACGCACATCTTGTGATTGAAACCAGTTCAGCAAACACCGACAGTGCCACAGTTTTCGATGTACGGAGTCAACGTTTACATTCCATATATGGCAAGTGTTATCGAACACATAAGCTGTTCGCCTCGAAGTTGCAATTATTGATTTCAGGCAAATCGTAAGGGATAATAAGTCTTTTTTTGCATCAATACGTCTTTTATTGCTAAAGTGAGTGCATATGCCCCGAATATATAAAATGTAGGCCAAAATATTGTTGCAAATGTGTGACATTGTGTCTTTAAGTGTCACAAGGTTTGTCTTATAACAAGGTTGTTTCATGAAAAAACATGAACACATGCTTACGATATAATTAAAATTGACAAATATGTAACAGGGATGTATTTTTGAAAGGATTGTGTCCCTAAAACCAATTCCTTTGGTAGGTATCGTCCTCACCGTGTGTTGACCTTGCTTCCTGGCAACAATCTAGATGACAACCGTATAATCTGTTCACCCATGTGTTGTTTCCCCCTGCACTGGTTTCTCTGGTGCTCGTTTAGTTTTAAGTGACCTAAAACTTGTACAATCGAATCTGACAATTTTGTCTTCTTTTAATCAGATTTGGCTCTACCCTTATTAAAGGCATTTTACCATGACAATACGTTGCACGTCTTTGAACGTGAAATAAGCACAGCAAGATTTTCGACAATGGAAACTGCGTAAATACGAAATTTACAATTGTTAAAAGAAATATCTGAGTCACAATTTAGTCGTATCTACAAGCATATTTTTTCATATGAGAAATATAAGCATGATACGTCAGTAAAATAGCAGCAAGTACTCGTAAGCTCCTACCAAGACTTCTGATATTCTTTGTTATACTTACTGCCTCAAAATGCACAAACAATTCAAGGAACTCCAGTGGCTACCCATGAATATTATAATTCATTTTAAGAACAAAGGACTGGTTTTTAACTCAGTGCAAGGACTGGCACCATCATACTTCTGTGATTGTATTAAAGATCATGTTCCATCTCGATCCAGTGACACTCACTCTTCCCAAACTGCAAATGGTGTACAGTATCTTGATATTGGTCCCTCAGAGAGATGTAGTGTCTAGTGACAAAGATAATAATAATAATAATGTGTCCATTTATATAGCGCCAAACTCCACACTGGGTATGCTCATAGCGCTAACAATTAAGGCACAGCACAATATTACCCCTCATAACCCAAGCTGCCTGTTAGGCGCTAGAAGGTTATAGTCATATGACTTTTTCCACCGGGTACCCATTTTCCTGCTGGGTGAACAGAGACAATTTTGAACAAACTCACTTGCCTAAAGTGAGACCACATGTGTCACATGTGCTTCGTTGTGGGGCAGGACTCAAGACCTAGAAACTCTCAGGAGTCAAGCTGCCAAACACGGTCACCCATCCAAGGACTCTCCGAGCTCGACGCTGCTGAACTTCACCGATTTGTGACCTGAGCTTTGAGCACAGGACCACGCGCCGCCAAAAATGCACTCAACAATATTTTAAATTTTACTTCTCGGCCAAAGTACCTTGTTCTGATTTTGTGAACACGAACAGGAATTCTGACTAGTATGCATGAAGAAACAAATACGCAAGGAGGGAGTGCAATTGGTGTCCATGGGGATAACTACTTTTTGTCGAAATGATAGGTAACTTTTTTAACAGGCGATCACCGTGTCACTAAAAATAGGTTCCTGTTAAGTCACGTCGAACCATGATTGTACGTGTAAACACTTTTACATCGAAACGAATAACAAACAAGATGTTTGCAAAATATGCAGTCCCAAAAGTTAGGTTTGACAGACTTTAGTGGTTAAAGCGCCCGCTTGTCACGCCAAAGACCCAGGTTCCTCATATGGGTACAATGTGTGAAGCCCATTTCAGGTGTCCCCGCCGTGATATTGCTTGAATAGTGCTGAAAGTGGCGTAAAACCATACTTGCAATCGCAATCGAACATACAATATTAGGAGAATAATGAGGACAGCAAAAGAGAATTCGAAAAGATGTAAACTGTTTACACGCCGACTGTCGTTGATTCATATCGAGGCTGGAAGGACAGTATTGGCCTCAGCAGTGAAAATAGAGCTGTTGTCTGGTGTCACAGTTACAACTACCTATACCGGGAAGCTTCTGGAAAATAACTAGAAATGCAAAGTCAAAGTGATTTGGTTAACTCAGTGTATTAGGAGTGAGTGAGTGAGTTAGAATTTTACATCGCACCGGAAATATTATAGCTATAGAGCGATGAAAACTAGGTAATCAATTCAAAATATCTGTAGACAAGGGACAGTAAAACCAACTAAACTATCATATATATATGATGGTCTAGTTGGTTTTACTGTCCTTTATCCTTTATATATATAGTCTAGTTGGTTTTACTGTCCTTTATCCTTTATATATATAGTCTAGTTGGTTTTACTGTCCTTTGTCCTTTATATATATATAGTCTAGTTGGTTTTACTGTCCCTTGTCCTTTATATATATAGTCTAGTTGGTTTTATATAGTCTAGTTGGTTTTAGATGGTCTAATTGGTTTTACTGTCCTTTGTCCTTTATATATATAGTCTAGTTGGTTTTATATAGTCTAGTTGGTGTTAGATGGTCTAGTTGGTTTTACTGTCCTTTGTCCTTTATATATATAGTCTAGTTGGTTTTAGATAGTCTAGTTGGTTTTAGATGGTCTAGTTGGTTTTACTCTACTTCGTCCTTTATATATATAGTCTAGTTGGTTTTAGATCGTCTAGTTGGTTTTACTGTCCTTTGTCCTTTATATATATAGTCTAGTTGGTTTTAGATAGTCTAGTTGGTTTTAGATAGTGTATATGGTTTTACTCTCCTTTGTCCTTTATATATATAGTCTAGTTGGTTTCAGATGGTCTAGTTGGTTTTACTGTCCTTTGTCCTTTATATATAGTCTAGTTGGTTTTAGATAGTCTACTTGGTTGTACTGTCCTTTGTCCTTTATATATATCTAAATCTAGTAATTAAATCTAAAATATTTTAACTATAGAGGACGATACAATATAAAAAGAGGCTATAGATCGCCAAAAACTAAAAGGTAGATCACCACACTTGGGTCCACGGGGACTTACAGTACCTTTGCTACCTGCATGGACCCTAGTTGGATTTACACCTTCCCTTCAGCTGCTGGCGAGTGTAGGAAGAGTTTAGCCAAATTTTAAAAGAACAAAAATACTACGGTTAAAAATCCGGTAAGTCAGTTTATTAGGACAACACCATAGGTAATAGTAGTAGTATACTTTTATTCGAGTGCCACATGCACAAGTATAGTTTACAGACAGTACATTATTCAACAATCGAGCCACAGACTAACTTATGAGACACTAAAAACATATATACAGTATTTATATATGAATATAAGATTTTCATAAATCATGTCAATGACATTTCCCGTCTTTTATACATATTTAGAAGTGAAGAGGCTAAAGTATTTCGCAATTTTTTTTCGTCCATCAACACCTCCCGTTGACCTAACCATAGCTGCTGTGTTCAGAAAACAAGTGAACGATTGCCATTCAAGACGGTTACTTCTGCCTGAATACTTGCATGCGGCATGTGCATCTCGATTCAATGTTGTGTTTGTGCCAACTCTTCCCTTTCCACAAACAAAAACATTTCAAACCTCAATCTCAAACAATACTTTATTGGCCAATACGACCACGATCCATGTTGTCCTCAAATCGACTTCCTGTGTATATTTAAAAAAATAGGTTCAAATACTCCATTGATACTTAAATGTAATTTCCAATATTACGACGTTTCTTTTGCCTTTCAGTATATTTAAGTCTTGTTGTAACAGGTTAGAGGGGTTTGATATACTATCCCCAAACGATCAGTTTTATTCTTTACTTATTATTAACAACCCCGTTTTAACCTTTTATTGTGTCAGGGCCTGCAACATACTTCTTATGCAGCAAATGATATACATGTCTGTATTATATATATATATTAGGTGTTGTACATTGTCTTGGTGTCTCTCATAAATCGCTGAACGATTTGTTGTACAAACAAGTGGGACAAATGTAAAATTATCTGTCTGTTTGTATGTCTACCTGACTGTCACCCGTTTCCTCCAAGCATGATCAATTGCTTACGCGAATTTATTACCCACGTGGTCAACGTATGGGTAGTCGCTTACTGATCTCGTACGTCACACGAGTGTCGTATCGCGTTGACCTGTGTCGTAACGACTTGACCTGTGATTCTAACGATTTGATTGGATAACCGATGGCCTCTCAATTAGGTCACATTCTGACATAACTATTTTTTCATTCATAACAAACACGCGAATTCATTCATTCTACATCTTAAATGCATTGTGGGAATAAACATTGCGAACGTTGCCGTGTCGCTGTTTAATTGTGAGTCGAACTGAGACGTTATATCCGTCGAAAAACATAAACGCAATGTTGCCACTAGTGATGTTAGCCGAATGAAGCAACTGCAAACCAAGAAACGGGGTGCTACGGGGTAGTTTTCTGTAGGAGGCTGTACGAGGCCATGACAACTGACATGCATCATGACGTCGGTTACAAAGGCAGTGACGTCATTACAGCGTGACGTCATGCAAATATTGTAATACAGTACAAAACTCTTCCGCAACCTCTTTATGAAACGGGTTTCGGTTTGTAATCAAAATA